ATAAAGGAATGTGCTTGAAGCTGACATGAACTAGGCTGATTGTAAACCCCTTATCACAAACATCCCCATATGTAAGGGAGGATGCCTTCTTCCTGGCAGTTGGCACCTTGAACAATTTGTTTCTTCCCCTCCAACACTATTGCTTTCCTTATAGGTAGCAGTTGTTCCGTCCTTGTAGAGAGCGGCCAAGAACAGGGACAGAAAGTAACTTGAGAAGTATTGCTCATTAAAATATGCCTGCATCATCATATGAATATGATGTGCTCTTTTCCCTCCCCCTTTCTTGTAGAACTGCACAAATGTCAGGGCATCCGTTTTGCCCATAGGGGATTGTCTCCCACTAACCTTTGGTGGGGTCCCCCTCCAGTACGTACTGCCTAATAAACACTGTAGTGAAGCCTTGATTATTTTGCCTTTGTGTCCTGCGTTTTGATTCCAGAGAATCATACAGTAGAAAGGGCCATTTGGCTACTAAATCTATTCTTCTCAGAGCAGAACCAATTATTAAAGCATCTCAGACTGATATCTGGCTTCTACTTGAATACATCCAGTGAAAGGGAGCCGCCAGTGGTTGGTTCCACTGTTAATTGGTTCTACTGTTAAACTGCTCTTTTTCTAACATTCAGTTGGAATCTGCCTTTCTATGACTTAAATCCATTATTCCATGTCCTACAAAAGAGAACAGGTCTAGATCCTCTTCCTTGTAAGATCCTTTCAGGTGTATGTAGGTATATGGAGACCAATACCATTTCCCCCTCAGTTCTCTATTCTCCTAATCACTGCTCTTCTCTGAACCTGGTTCAATTTCTCTGATGCCCAGAACTGGCCACAGTACTCAAGGAGGGTTCTAACCAAAGCAGAATAAATTGGATTCAGCCTAAAGCAGCCTAAAATTGCATTTGCTTTTTTTTTTTTTTGCAGCAACATCACATTTCTGGCTCAAATTCAGTTTGCAATGCTATAAACAGTAAGGTAGCCACACATGTGCATTTCATTTTTGTTTCCTAAGTGAAGAACTTTGCATATTTATAAAAAAAATCTGCTATTTTTCACCTAATTTCTCCAACTAGTCTAGATCATTTTTAAAATTTTACTTCTGTTCTATGATATTAGTTATCCCACCCTATTTTCTGATAAACAAAATACCCTCTGTCTTGTCTTTCACATCATTAAACAAAATGCTGAAGAACAGAGGGCCCAGAATATCCCACCTGATAGAGTAGTTTTATACACACTTTTTCAATCCAGTTATATTAATAGCCAGGTTACTTTTTCATCCGCTGAAATCTCAGTACCTGTTTCTTAAGGGCCCCCAAAATTTTTCTGCATTCCAGCAGTACAGAATATTGGTTACATCACTTGGCTCTAATTGTCACTTTCATCCTGTGGCAATGCTCCTTTGTTTGATTCTCTTTTTTGTAACATTGCTCCCTCAGTATCGCATCCTTTCTTTGATCTGATAAGTCTTCATCCTCTTGTATGAGCTTAACTGTAGTTACTCATCTAATTCCCTAGACTTCTTTTTCTCAAGTCCACAAGCATGCACTTCCTGCAAATGCATGCCATGTTGCTTTCAGTCAGGAACACTAATATACCAAAAATTTTGTAGCACACAACTGCATTTTGTTCATCTGCATTTTGTTACTTAAGATAGGAAAAGAGAAAAAGGAAAAAGAAGACAGATGCTTTCAAATTATTTGCAGACAGTTACAATAAGAGTATTGTTGATGTTAACTAATTCTGGACCAAATAAAAACTGACTGTCCCCTTGGGGCAATGATCAGCAAGCAGAAATTCAGATTCCTTGGGTATCTGATGTGAGCAAAAAAAACACTATGTTTGGCAAAGTTAATGGAAGTACAAGGAGGATATATCCTCCTACCTACCTTATCCAGCAATGGATAAGGTAGGTAGACAGGATTAAAGAGATTACAAGAATGTTGTCGGAAGAGCTACAACTTTTTGTCGGCTGATTTGTTCATTTGTTCATGCTGTCACCAGAAGTCAAGGTTGACTTCATGGTATCTAACTAACCCCCCAGTAGAATGTGTTTTTATTTCTTCTTGTTCCCTTCTTACATGTACCAACAATATACCATTTAGAAAATATACCATTTAGAAAAATTGTTAAGAATTTCTGCTTAAAACCACCCCAATTTCACAAAGGCATTTTTAATATTACCCAGAGGTAATGAATAATCTGGCTGCATTGCCTCTTTTCACACAAACTCTTCCTCTCTTGCCTGCTTCACATAGTATCTCACATTAAAGAACCTATACTACCTCCCCCAGCAAAACATTTTGATAGCTACTTGCACATCATTATATCACTGTGGAG